CAATATACTTCTGTGTATATATTTACACAGCAGATGTATGAATTTTTATATTTTTGCTGGGCTTTTTTTTTTCTTTTTTGGGGCCGTAATTTAATTGAACTGTAAAAAGTGAGTAAAGAGGGTAGATATAGATGCTATTTTTGGAATATTTTGTTAAAAGAAATAGTTCGAGGTTGTGATTGTTTTGTTCCTTTAGGGCAGGAGTCTTTAGAGGTGTTTTTTATGACACATTTTTATTTTTCTGCCCACTCTCGCTCAGCTCTTGCTGCCATTTCCTGTCTTTGAGTGTGACTGCTGCTGTGTTTTCCTGCGTGTGCTTATGTAGGAGGGTTTTTATGTTTTGTCTTTTTTTTTTTTTTTGCTTTAATGTTATCTTCTTATTTTGAGTCTTGCTGCCATTTTTATGGAACAGAGTTCCTGTAAACTCAGACATGTTTTTGTTGCTGTTGCCTTCCTCTGTTTGAACAGAGCAGGCGGCCATGTTTCCCTCTCCCATCTGATCAGATTCACTCCAATATTTATGGATCAACCCCAACCTCCTTTTTTTTCTGTCAAGAAAATATTATTTATTATCATGTCAGAAACTGACAGCTCCTTTTTGTTTGCACAAATGTCTTCCTAATAAACAAGTCAGTATTAATGCTCTGCATTTAATTTTTAAGCAGATTGCTTCCAACAGATAGTTTAGATACAGTAAATGTTTTTTTCTTATTCAGAACTCAAGATGTGTGTGAGCTACAAGAAAATCCACTTTTTTCATACATTTTTACCTATAAATAAACTTGGTTTTTGCACTTGTGTGTAAAAACCATAATAATTAAACTTTAAATTCAATCCACACACTGATTATTTGAACTCCTTTTCATGTTTTTGTTGCCTCTTAAAACTAAATTTGCTTCATTTTTTCCCGTTAGCGACGACTTCTATTTGTTTTACTTGCATCAGAGCACAAAATGTCAGTATTTTTTTATTCACATCAAACAAGAGAAACACCACCTCAACTGAAAACTGTGCCGATTTTTTTTCATCTTGATTACAATTAAGATGTGTTTTTTCTGTTTTCTTGAATGCAAATGGAAAGATGTGAATGTGTTTTTGTTTTGTATGTTTCTGTGTGTGTGTAAACATCTTTTGGCATTACAGCAGAAATGCACAATAAGCTTAAATGTKGTGAGTGAGCGGCACAATCTGTACAAAGAGGTATTAACTCAGTCCGTGGCTTACAGTTTTTTGCTTTCATCTCACACATCTAGTTGTTGTAACTTATGTCTTTTAGAAAGACAACATTGTTTTGCTCGTACGCTTTTTATGTGTTTTTTACAAGTGATTGTACATAGTTATATTTTTGTTTAAAAGAATGTTGAAAGAAAAAAATAATAAATACCTTTTATTTCTCATCTACTGATAAAAGTTTGGACGACAAATAAAATGTATAACTGAAGGAGGAGTGTGTCTTTACTGTTTGAACAAAGTCTAAAAACAGTCAAAACATTTTTCACAGTTTCTGCTCATTGATGATTTTATCTGTTAGGTTTAGACAACTCAAGTTTTAGGAAATGAATGAATAATTGATTTTTGATCTCATTTTATCCTAAAAACACTTTTTGGACATGTTCAGATTATAACCAGGTGGTGGCGCTAGAGACAAAGTTTTTGGGTTGCAAGTTTGGTTCAAATTTCTCTTTAAGGTGTGCTTGAATTTTGAGTAAAGTTTCATATGAGTTTACTATTCAGTGTCTAATATAAATAAATAAAAATTTTAAATAAAACCTAATGAAGGTAAATATTTCCACCTAAATGATGAGTTTGAGCAGAGCAGTTCAACGTTTGCTGGACAAATTTCTTCTAAAATCTAATATGTTCTTTTCATAGATTGAATAAAGTCACTGAGATGTTTTATTCCCTCATAAGGTTTGATTAATAAAGCAAATGAGGCCATTCTCCTCATGCTGCCTGGATGTCCTCGCTGTGTCTCTGCACCTCCTGCTTTGTTCAGCACTTTTCTCAGATCTGATCAAAGCTGGAGAGCATCATGCAGTGCTCAAGGTCGGCCTCTTTCATTTTTTTTATTATTACTCATTAAATGTTTACTGTCACACGGGGGGGGGGGCAGGCGGACTGACCTCTGTGTGTGTGAGGAGGTTTTTGTGTTTTCATGCACCACTGGCTGCTGCGTTTTTTACTGCAGAACATGCAAGGCTGAACAGAGTCTATCCTTACATCAGGTGACCAAAATTTTATTTTTGCAGTTTCAAATTTGCCCAATATGCAATCAGTGAAGAACAAACTGCGTCTGTATGGAAGAAAAATAGTCTCATTGGAATCTGAATATTTTTAGACACTGAATTTATGACATTGAATTTTTATCCTCTGAAATTATGTATGTGAATTTTTTTAATTCAAATTTGCTGGCAAAATTTCACCTGCAACATTTCAACTGAAGAAATTCGCCAGAAAAAAAATTCAACTACAGAAATTCACCTGTAAATATTCACCTGAAATTATTCAACTACTGAAATTCAGCTGCAGAAATTCACCTGTAAATATTCACCTGAAATTATTCAACTACTGAAATTCAGCTGCAAACATTCGCYGTAAAAATATGTTGACCTCCTGGTGACCCAAGCCAAAGCAATCAATACTAGATCAAGTCGACCTGGTGTGTCACGTGATCAAATGAGCGTAACTTGATTGGCTAAAAGCTGGTCAACTTGATCTGGTATTGATTGCTTTGGCTTGGGTCACCAGGAGGTCAAATTTACAGGTGAATTTCTGCAGCTGAATTTCAGTAGTTGAATATTTTTCAGGTTAATTTTTACTGGTGAATTACTGTAGTTGAATTTTTTTCTGGTGAATTTCTTCAGTTGAAATGTTGCAGGTGAAATTTTGCCAGCAAATTTGAAGTAAAAAATTCACACATAATTTCAGAGGATAAAAATTCAATGTCATAAATTCAGTGTCTAAAAATATTCAGATTCAGACTATTTTTCTTCCATACATCTGAATCAAAGAAATAAATTTAAAGGTACACAAAGTTTGAGACCACACAAAGAAATGTTATGAATTACATTAAATGGTGCAGTTTGAAAGAATTTACACCAGTAGTTTTCTAGATTCGCTATGAAATTCTAAAATGTGCACTCAATGCAAACAAATCCTTTGTTTTTGCTTATAACAAATCTAAGCAGAAATATATACCATTACTTCAAATATGTCTTGGAAATAACTTGAAAACAAATTAAGTGCAAARTTCATTTCCACCCCAAAGTTTTCATCGCAGATATTTCTGAAATTTATTTTGGTAAAAGCTTTGACATGTCCTGGAAATTGTATATTAATTCCAAACATGCACCTATATTACAAGTGAGATTAAAAAAAGGTCAGAATACTTGAGTAATGACAGTGATATGGTGTATTTAGTCAAACTGATCACAAATTGATGTGTTTCTTAAAATCACTTTTCTGTTTCTGATGTAGTACTATCAATAGTAAAGATATGTGAAGAGGAACCAGTGCTTCTATAAACTTTTTAAAGGAGCTGGACTCTGTGTTTTAGAGGGAATAATCCATAATGATCAGAGAAGTTAAAGTTCAACTCCGGCAGTTTAGAAGGCAGTGAGATTACACTCTGCATCAAATCTGTGACAAAAGGTGAAGGAGTCTTATGGCATGAGAGGAGTTGTAGAAAAACTAGGACTCATGGGTTGTATATGTGAGACGTGTGTGTGTGTGTGTGTGTGTGTGTGTGTGTGTGTGTGTGTGTGTGTGTGTGT